TATTCTCCCTGGGAGGTATGGGAAGAGCCTGGAAAAAGAGGCGGAGAGCATGACTGTGTCAGGTTCAGGGGACAGCCTCCTACCCGGGATGGAAGGTGTGGGTCGGGTTGCCGAGCCATTTCCATCATAAGGCCCTCGCAGGGGAGAGGGGAGGCGAGGTACACGTGTCAGCTGGGATGCTGGCCAGAGAGGGGTAGGGGTGCCTGTGAGGGGGGTGTTCCCTCCTCCATCCTGCAGGCTGAGGAACCTCATTTCTTTTGCTGAAAACTGTCCAGTGGGGCCTCATCCCTCCAGGACTCCAGCTTCCTCTCCGCCTTCCCCTGCCTCCCGACCCGGGCAGGACAGGAGCATTCCTCTTCTCGGGGGTGTGGGGGCCAGGAAGGAGGCGCTGATCTCACGGCATTATCGAGGCTATGCTGGTCCCTGAGGCAGAGACAACTTGGTGGTGGGATGTTTGCGTGTCCTTCAAACCGGGTGGTTGGACAACCTCACAGGAGGCTGTGTGTGCGGGGTTAGGATGTCCACCAGGGTCAGTGGTGGCCAGATGGCCACGGCTCCAAGGGAGGGACCACAGCAGACCGCCAGTACCCTCCTCTGCCTACGAGCAACCCCCCAAGGCCCTGACTCATGTACCCCTGACCCTCTGCCGGCCCCCCCTCCCTTAGGCAACTCACTGGCCCCTCAAGAGGAAACGGGACATTTCTGGCCCGGAGTCGCTGTGTAGCCAGATATTCCCGGCTTCACCCCGACTCCAGCTTGTGGCTGTCCCCTCCCTACCATGGCCAAGGCACGCCAGGCTCTCCTTCCACCAGCCAGCCTGACCCTGAGGCAAGTCCTCTTGATGTCCTCAGCACCCCATGGCCTTGACCTGGCTGGTGCGACTTAGCCCGTGCCGGACGGTTGCGGTGTCTGAGCATGACGCTGTCCCTTCGCGTGGAAAGGCTCTCCAGAGCAGCGCCGGGGGCTCCACCTGGGCGATCCAGGCAGGACTCAGGATGCCGCAGCCGTGGGGCGGGTGTCCTCCCTGACCCTCCCCATAGCCGAGCTATCCGGGTCTCTGTCTCCATGTCCCTGGGGCCACTGCCCAAGCTCAGCTTTCTGCTGTCCTGCTCCAGACGTTCTCCGTGAGGCTGCCCGAGTGAGCTTTCAAACATGCAAGTCTGGTCCTGTCGTTTCCCTTCTTCCAACTCTGCAGTGGCCTCCTTTTACGTTCGAATTAAATTTTCAGTCTTACCGAGTCCTACCAGACCCCACATGGGCTGACCTCTGCCCTTGCCTCCTCCCAGCGAGCTCCTTCTGGTCACCCTCCGGCCGCGGGGGACCTTCCTGCAGACCCTCCTCTAAGCCAGGAGCTTTCCAGAGGGGCTCTCAGGCGGCCCGGTCCGCAGCGCGCCAGGCCTCCCCACTCTGCTCGGCGACTCCTGTCCCCGCGGGCCTCCGCCCAGGCCCTTGCTCAGAGACACCCCGTGTGTTGCCCTGCACCAGCACCACTTTTCCCCCTCGTCAGTCTTGCTTGCAGTTTTCCCTTCTTCTCCTCCGTAGAGCTTAACACAGTTTTAATTAAACGTTGTGTGTATTTGGCTTTTTTAAAGGTTTTATTTATTGGGGCGCCTGGGAAGCTCAGTCGGTTGAGCGGTTGAGCGTCTGCCATCGGCTCAGGTCACGATCCCGGGGTCCAGGTCGAGCCTCTCTGCTCAGCGGGGGGAGTCTGCTTCTCCCTCTGCCCCTCCCCACTACTCGTGTCCTCTCTCACACGCTCTGTTCTCTCTCTGTGAGACACAGAGAGAGGAGAGAGCATGAGCTCCATGTCTGAGCTCCGCACTGACCGCCAAAGCCCCCCTCTTAGCTACCCTCAGACGTATGGGTGCACATACAGGCACTTTGGTCCATCTTTGGGAGGACGAATGCGGCAAAGGGGCTTGTACAAGTCCCACATTCCCGTTTGGACAGGGGATTCCAGGATTCTGGATTCCTGGAGCGTGTTCTAGAAGGGCAAGAGTGAGCTCCAGGTGGCCACAGCCTTGGCCCATTGCCTGTGGAGGAGAGTCCCAGCAGGCCCTGCGGTACAGACCCAGGGCAGCAGCCGTCTTGCCTTGGTGGAGGGGGGATACTCTCTGTGCTCACGGCCTCTGGGAATAACTGGACAGGGAATGGACCGACAGACATCCTGCTCTATCTGTCCTCATCACACACAACCCCCAGAAGACTCTCCAGTGACTGCTCCCGGAGTTGGCTGAGGCTCTAGCTGGCAACTCTGGCCTTCGGTGTTCGACTCCCTCCTGCGTGAGTCATAGGTGAGCGCTCTATGTCTCCTCCCGACTGCCGTCCCTTTTCTGTTCCACCTGGAGGGGAGCCTAAGGACAACCTGCCAGCCTGGGAACACAGTGACCCCAAACCCTGATGCTGCTCTGGGACACCTGTCCCAAGAATCTACCGGCCATACCTTCTTCCATCCCTGCCCACTGAAGCTTTGCTTCCAGCCAGAGTCTCTGCCCCTTTCTCCGCTTCCTTTGGGGAGCTGACTGGCCCTCCTTGGGGACACAGTTCTCACAGGCCAGAAGAAGCCTTTGAGACACACTGGGGGCCGTATTATGGTTGTTGACACATTGCTTCCCCACTAGGCTGTGAACTCTTTGAGGGCAGGGGTGGGGATGCCACGATTCAGACTTCCCTGCATCCCAGTCGGGCCTGGTGCACTGGGGGATCAGCAGGTGAGCAGTCAGTGCTTCCTGAATGAACAAATAAATGCATTTCCTTCCTTACCGATTCCTGTTCAAACTGCTTTTTTATCCTTTATTTTGTTAAACCAATACTCCTTCTGACAAGATGTAACTCTTCTCCATCCCCTAGAGGGAGGATCCTTGACCCCAGCTAGGCTGATCAAGCTCTATCTGTTTGTTGGGAATTTTAATCTTCAGGGAGCCACATGGGAACAGAAACAGAACAGATTTATTCCATGGTGGCCCTGAGGAGGTTGTCCCAAGACCTGCATCCCCAGGGCCTCCTGGCTTTGTCCCTTCTGAGGCTCAGTTCATCAGTGTTTTCTTTGGTTCTCAGAGTGCTATAGACTGAATGTTTTTGTCCCCTCCCCCCCCAATTAATAGACTGAAACCTAATTCCCAAAGTGAGGGCATTTGGAGGTGGAGCCTTTGAGGAGATGAGGTCCTGAGGGTGGAGCCTCGTGAGTGGGAGGAGTGCCCTTAGAGAAGAGACCCCAGAGAGCTCGCTCACCCTCCCGCCGCCCCTTGAGGACACAGGGGGAAGCTGGCCGTCCATCCATGAACCAAGAAGCCGGCTCTCACCAGACTCCAAATCTGCTGGCGCCTTGCTCTGGGACTTCCCAGCCTCCAGAACCACGAAAAATCAACTTCTGTTGTTTAGAAGCCACCCGGACTACAGTATTTTTTTACACCTGCCTGACCTGATGAAGACGCTGAGCTACCTACAACTTCCTAAACATTTCCTTCTTTTGCTTTAGTTAAAACCAGAGCTGGTTTCTGTTCTTTGCATCCAAAGAACTCTGATTCCAGGGTTTTCACATTATTCTTAGATATTCTGAAGAACAGGACTGTTTAAACGGCCAAATGTATGATATTGACTTATTTGGCTCAAGTCCTGTTGCTTTGTGCTTCCCTGGCAGTGGTATTACTCTTTTCTGCCGATCTCTCCTTCTTTTCAGCTCTGATGCATCCCTGAGCTGCACACTGAGGAAAGGGCAGAGGAAAGGAGCCTGAAGAAGTCTCGTTTGCAGGAAGCTGGCGTGTTTCTGACACATGAGTCGACTCCTTTCATTGGCCTCTTTTATTCCACGGTCCACTCATTCTTTCCGTCCTTACTTTATAATTCGTTTGTGATGTGGGGAGGATCTTACGGGTCGTCTAGGGCAGGAATGGCTAATAGGTTTTGTCTTGGCTCCCAACCTCAATTAATCGGCCCGAGTCACTTAAGCGTCATGCTGCCTGCGGACTCAGTGTGTCATCATTATTTCTCCGTGCCCGACACGGTCCCGGAGGGCGGAAGTCTGTGTACATGTACTGCATATTTGTCATTCCTGATCTAATGCAACTTCCCACCTAATAGGAAAAGTCTCTAGTCTGTAATACCGCTCTGAGATGGTTTCAGCTTAAGCACATTCACTGAAACAGCTCACCTCATGTCGGGCCTCCTCTGTTTGTCAGAAAGTTCTCCCTGGTGGAATGGTGCAGGGGACGGGACTGGACGGATGAGATAAACCTCCAGCTAATTCTGCCTCTGCCATGGACCAGTTATGTAATTCTAAGGAGTAACAATCTCTTTGGGCCTCGGCTTTCCACCTGAGAAATGAAAAACTTGAACTGAGAAACCACAAGATTTCCTTCCAGCTTTAAGATCCTATTACTCATGTGAGTCATTGTCTGCCTCTCAGGGCCATACTCCAGTGGCCTCAGTTACACAATCTGGCTACGTGACAGCCCTTCAAACAACGGGGGACCTTCCGAGTCTTTTGTTCTAGGCTCAATATGACCAGTTTCTTTAATCATTTTTCATATGATAAGGTCTCTAGACTTTTCGCCGTGTGGGTTATTCTCTTCTTGACACTTGAGTTTTCGTGCTGCATGCAGAAAAGATGTGGGGAGCCATGGAGTCAAATCTGGAAGGAGATGGTGCTTGCCCTGAAGACCAGCAACTAACCAAGTGCTGAATAACCAAACACATGTCACTTCTTAACAAAAATGGAAGATTTCCCAGAGATGTCATTTGCAGAAAAATTTTTTTAAAAAGATTATTTATTTGAGAGAGAGAGAGAGAGAACGCGTGCATGAGCGCAAGCAGAGGGCAGGGGCAGAGGGAGAAGCAGACTCCCCGCTGAGCAGGGAACCCGATGCGGGGCTCGATCCCAGGACCCTGGGATCATGACCTGGGCTGAAGGCAGATGCTTAATCAACTGAGCCACCCAGGTGCCCTGCAAAAAATTTTTTTTTTTTTTTAAACAAGGCACTGGGTATTCCTATCCCTACTGATGAAAATAAATATGTCTGTCTCAGCCTTGCCTTTTGCTATGCCCCCTCTCCATTCTCTCTGACATCATGTCCCCTGACCCCGACGTCCTATCAGCTCTTGCTTTGCCCAGAGGACAGGTACAAAGGCTCAAGGAAAATTCAATGAAAACAGAGAAAAGCGAAAACAGAGGGACAGCGTTCTGGTCTATGTGCCAACTGGAAATAATGGTGTAAAGGTAGTCATGGGAAGAATCTGACTCCCAAACATACAGGGGTGCTCCTGGCTACCCTAACCCCAGGCACATGTGTTCTGAAGACCACAAGATCCCACGTGTTGTGGCCCAAGGCCACCACTCGGATCCTCCCCATTCCATTCTCCCCCACCACACTCCCTCTGTTTTGACCCAGCCAGCCATGAACTCAGATGACCTGACAGTCCTTCACGCTGGAAAGAGAATCCCCTGTCCCCCATCTCTCACCTTCATCTATTTCTAGATCTTTTCTTATGATAATGCCTCGGACATCAGGAAACATCAGGGTCTCAAACTACAGGGGCTGGGCTAGGGCCAGAGCTGGAAGTGGGCGATTCAGAGTTTCTCTGTTAGTTCAAATGTCTAATGTCTTTTACATTCTGGGACCCAGACTGGAGGCAATCCTTTGGTCAGTTAGTTGATATTTGCATTGGTCTGCTAGGGCTGCCATAACAAGACACCAGAGAATGAGTGGCTTAAACAAGAGAAATTTATTTTCTCATAGTCTTGGATGCTAAAAGCACAAGACCGAGGTGTCAGCAGGTTTAGTTTCTTCTGAGGCCTCTCTCCTTGGCTTGTAGATGTCTTCTTTCTCTCTGTGTCCTTCCATGACCTTTTCTCTGTGGGTGAATCCCTGGTATCTCTCCCTCTTTTATAAGGACACAAGTCATATGGGATTAGGGCCCATCCCAATGACCTCATGTAATTTTAATTTTCTCTTTGAAGTCCTTTTTCCAAATACAGTCATATTCTGAGATATTGGGGGTTAGGACTTCAACCAATGGACTTGGAGGAGACAGATTCTGTCTACAACAATACTTCATGAGCAGTGGTGGGGGTGGTGGGGTTGGTGAATGCCCTGGACCATCAAAGTCCCTGTGGGTCCTGGAGAACTTCCAGCATCTTTGAGGGGATGGTCTGTTATCTTGCCCCAAGCAGAGCCAGGAGCGGGGGAGGGGGGATGTGGAAGACTGTGCTAGTGTTTTCTGTCTGGCGGCTCCCAGCACAACAGCTGTCTAGGCTGCTCCTGGAGGTGGGACAGGAGTCTCATGGGAAGTACGGGGGCCGTGGTGGCTTCCAGACACCAACTATGTTCCAGAGCATCATGTGCTTGGGCAGTGGGCTTCCTGATGGTCCAGACAGCAGTTTATATCCTCCTCCATGGCAGACCCTACACAAGGGGGTTCTCTGTCTCTGGAGTCACTCTGTCAATACAGATGTCCTTCTGCTTTTTCCCTGGCAAAGAGATCAGAAAGGTTACTCCTCTGATGTTTGGAATCTTAGCATCCTTGGCTAGACCTGAAGCCATCCCAGAAAGCCTGGGGTGGACATCCCCACAAAGCCCAGGTCTGTGGGGTGTTTCTATCAGGGGCAGGGCATCCTGGCGTCGAGGCAGGGGCTGAGCTAGAGGGATGGCCCAGAATCCAGCCACACCTCTGAGTTTCTCCTGCTCTCTCCTCCTTGAGAAGGAGGCCTTATCAGCCCCTAGCGAGAAAGGTGCTTCCCTCAGAGAGCATTTCCTAGGAATGCTAGGCAAGAAGGGGTTGGGATTCATCTAGACTTCCACTCAGCAAACCTTTATCCATACCAGTGCTGTTCCAGGAACCCTTGCTAGATGCCCGGTGGTGAGGCAGTCTTTGCTTTTAAGGGGCCGAGAATTTAGTGGGAGAGTAGGTGCAGTGAGCGCCGTGACTAGGATAAGCAATGGAGATTAAAGGAAGTACACCCACCCCACCCAGGCCAGGGCAGGAGATCAGCAAGGCTTCCTGGAGCAGGTGCACCTGGGAGATTGTGGAGGAGATAGTCACATGAAGAAGGGGGACTGGGTGGGAAACCGAGGGAAGTGTGGTCCAGATAGGGAGATGGTCCACGTGCAAAGGCCTGAAGAGTTATGTAAGACAAGAGTTCGTTTGAAGAACTGCAAATGAAGCTTCACGTGGTTCAGTCTGATTGGAGACCAGAGTATGAGTCAGGAGATGAGGTGGCAGAGGTAAGGAGGGCAGACCATCGAGGCCTAAAAGAGAGGAGGTCCAACCCTGCTCTCCTCCGCAGGAGATCCCCCTCCTCCACACACCTCTGACACCTGCAGGACTCCTACCTGAGCAGTAATAGTGCCAGGCAGAGAGGAGAGCAGCCAGGGTCAGGAGCAGGGAGATGGGGACCATCACCAGCAGCACATCTTTGTAGGAGGACTTTCCTGGGGCTGGACATGCAGGCGGCAGAGTCAGAGGGGGGTTTGATGCTTAACAATCCCTCAACCACTGACCCCTGGCCCTTGGCATACCTGCCTTGCGATGGCAGCTCTCCCAAGGGGTGACGGTGGCCAAGTCCCAGCTGACGGGATTAGAGACAATGCAGGAATACGCCACACTCTTGTCTCCTGGTCCCAGTGAAACCCTCAGCACCTGTCCATCCATGAACAGGCCACTTGGTTCAATACCAAAGTCAATGGTCCCCTCCCGTCGCCAGCTATAGGTTATGTCACTGATGTTGGGGGCCCGACAGGACAGGAACACCTGGCAGGTCTTGGGTGGCTGAGCGTCCCCTGATACAGCGATGAATACTTGTACCACGGGTCTGGGCACTGCATCTAGGCAAGAACAGTAGAGCGGGCATGGGTTATAGTGATGCTGGGCAGGGCATACCGTGCCAGCCCTGGGATCCATGCAGGGTTAGAGGTCACCTCTGACCAGCCCACTCTTGCTCCAGAACCTAGTCTGGTTTCCCATTGCCCACAGGACAGAAGCTGAATTCCTTAGTCTGGTATTCAAAATCCTTCATGAAATAGTTGGTGTCAACCTCTGTAGTTGTAACCACCTGCTGGTCTTACTCACCTACCCTCATTAATTTCCGGTTCTCCCAAGCATGTCATGCTTTTCCACATCCTGCATGCTTTCATATGGCCCAGCTGTGCATGTATGCCTTTCTCTTCTCTTCCTCCTGGGGAACTCCTACCAACCCTTCAAGACCCAGTTTGAGCACATTGCTTACTGTTCTGATTATGAAGCCTTCCCTGATAATGTAGGCTCTGAAGACTCCTCCTGTCTGTCCTTTGTCATAGCACTGTCCTCATGACATATCAGTCAGACAGGGGATAGGCACCTATTAAATCAGGCAAGAAAACCAACACATTCTGGACTATTAGAGTTTATAGTTTGGTGAAGACAAGTACTGACAAGTGACTGAATAATTAAAGACATAATTACAAGGGTCCAAGCTCCCGTGGAGACCAGGGGGTGGGGGTTCTGTTTTGTTATCTTCATAACCTAGCTCTCTAGGTGCTCAGCCACTTGGACCGGTGAACACAGTGGAGTCCCGGTATCCCAGGCCGTGGCTCTCCTCTCTTGTATAGGTGGATGAGTCCATCCCGAGTCTCTGTGGCAATGGGGACCAGCAGGAGAGCATTCTGGTGACAACGGGAGGGCTCTGTCTCTGACAGCGTTCCAGAGTCAAGCAGACTAAAAGCTCATTAATGCCAGCTCAGTCTGGTGGGATTTGTGGTATGGAAAAGGAAAGATTTGCTGGTCACACTAATAGTATAAACAAAGACTACGTGTGTGGATGTGGGGCGGATATTTACGCTACTTAAGAGGGCAAGCTGCTTTCAAACACTATCAGGCACAGTAGAAACACCCATTGACATTTCTAGTAACTGATCTGCTAATTCAAATCATTCTCATCTATTGTCAAAGCAGAGCTCCCAAGGACGGCTGCTTGGCAGCGTTGTGCAATTAGTTCTAATCATGCTATGTATTTGGAAGCAATAAAACAGCAATTTCCTTAAAATCTGTAATTCAGATGCTGAGAACAAGGCATTTTAGAGCTTAGTGGTGTGGGTGCTGCGTGCATTATCACTTTCAATGTCCTCATTTCACATGTGCAGCAGCTGAGACTCAGAATAGGAAGAGGCTCCAGGGCTGCCTGTATGGTTGTGTAGGTTATTCACTGTGCAAGGGCCCTGGGCTAAGGGGACAACCAGTGAGGGTAGGGCTGCTGAAATCCAGCCAGCACTCTGCCTGCCAAGCTGTGCAACTCGGTTCAGGGCTGCGTGCATCCAGGACACACGTCTAATGGTGCACTGGAACCCCGAATGGCTCACAGACTGGCTGTCCCTGGGTTGGTGGTGGTGGTGGGAGGTCCCCTCTCCTTCCCAATTTATTGCCTTTCTCTCCCTCACTGTCTTCCTCTTCCCAGCTGTCACTCCTACTTTTCATTCTTAACATTGGACCTTTTTCTCCCCACTGCCCTATCAAATTTCTGAGGTTTTACTGAAATAGTGATTTGAGGTACCACACATGCCTTTTCCAAGACATTAGGCAGATGAACGAGAGCTAAAAGGCTATTTTTTTTCCTAGATCAGCAGAAATATGGTGGAGGGGGAGGCAGTAGAGGTGGAGATAGAGGTGATGATGGTGGTAGAGGTGATTGTAGAGGCAACAATGGTTGAGGAGGTGATGGTGGAGGAGGTGGAGGTGGTGGTGGAGGTGATGGTGGACAAGGTGGAGCTGATGGTGGAGGAGGTAGAGGTGGTGGTGGTGGAGGTCATGGTGGAGGAGGTAGAGGTGGTGGAGGTGATGGTGGAGGTGGTGACTGTCAAGAAGGTGGAGGTAGTGGAGGAGGTGGAGGTGATGGTGGAGAAGGTAAAGGTGATGGTGGAGGAGGTGGTGGTGGTGGAGGTGAAGGTAGTGGTAGTGATTGTGGAGGAGGTGGAAGTGGCAGTGGAGAAGGTGGAGGTGATGGTGGAGGAAGTGGAGGTGATGGTGGAGGTGGAGGTGGTGGTGGATGTGATGGTGGAGGTGGTGATTGTGGAGGAGGTGATGGTGGAGGTGGTGGTGGAAGTGATGGTGGAGGAGGTGAAGGTGATGGTGGAGGTGGAGGTAGTGGTGGAGGTGATGATGGAGGTGGTGATTGTGGAGGTGGTGATGGCAGAGGTGGTGGTGGTGGTCGTGGAGGTGATGGTGGAGGTGGTGGTGGAGGTGAAGGTGGAAGAGGTGACTGGAGGGGGTGGAGGTGAAGTTACTGGAAAGAAGGGCCAGTGCCCAGTGAAGCCAGCCGCCCCAGCTGAGGTGCCGAGTGGGGCTGTGTGAATGATCCTGCCAAACCACGGGGAGCAGAAGACCTGCCCAGCTGAGCCCCACCACCCCGCAGGTGGTGAGAATTAAAATGGCTGTTTTCGGGCAGTAAGTTTTGGGGTGGTTTGTTTTGCAACAATGAATAATTGAGAGAACCCATGAATGTCATATAGTTAAAAATCTCTAAATACGTCTAAAAGAACTCTTTAAAACAATATGAAATCCACATTCCATACTTCAATTATACTTCAATTTTTAAGATTTTTTTTTTTTATTTGACAGAGAGAGACACAGCGAGAGAGGGAACACAAACAGGGGGAGTGGGAGAGGGAGAAGCAGGCCTCCCGCCGAGCAGGGAGCCCGATGCGGGGCTCGATCCCAGGACCCTGAGATCATGAACCGAGCTGAAGGCAGATGCTTAACGACTGAGCCACCCAGGTGCCCCTATACTTCAATTTTTAATAAAAAAATTGTGTCCTACTTTGGTTGGCAATATTTTTTTCCTTGTTAATGTTTTGTCAGATAATGGCACATCTTATAATCTTAGAATTTTGGAGTGTAGGCCAGACCTCTGTCTCTGATGCTTTCCCAAACGCAGTGTATCTTGCCTCTGTGGGCAGCTACGTGTAATATTACTGACGATGCCCATTTTATAAATGAGAAAGGTGAGTGCTAGGGAGGCTTCGCATTGTGTCCAAGGCCACCGAGCCCAGAAAAGACCCCGCTGGAGTTCAGGCAAGGACTGTGGGGCGGCAAAGCCGGGCTGCCTCACACAGGAGCGCACCTGCCCGGGAGCACCTGGGGAGCTTTCTCAGATGTGTCCCGAATCAGCTGCGCGGTCAGAGGCCAGAGGTCTCTGGAACCCTGTCCTCCCCAGCTCCTGGGACACAGGACCCCTTTCCAGCGCTTTGTGGGCAGCCGGAGAGCCGGTGTGGGGCGCACTCACCAAACACCTTGAGCTGCAGGAGCTGGGTCCGGGCCCGGCCGCCCGTGTCCACCAGCAGCACAGAGAAGTTGCCGCTGTCTCCAGACTCCAGAGGCTGGAGCTGCAGGCTGAGGTTGCTGTGCAGCTGGGCTCGGCCCAGGAAGCGCGAGCGGTACAGAGTCTCTGTGGAGCCCCGGAAAAACGTGGCCAGGAGCTCCTCCGAAGGCCAGAGGGATCTCCAGATGGCCTCTCGGACTTGGAAGCCGGCAGGGCGCTCTGCCGCCAGCAACACAGAGCCCCCGACCTGGCCGTGCACTTGGGCGCTGGAGGCTCTGGGGGGAAGCAGTGCTGCAAGAAGAGAACCCCATCACTGCCGGCCCCAAGCTCCTCACCGGTCTCCCGCCACCGCTTACGCATCCAGCTAAGCTGCTGCGAAGCGCACTGGGGCCCCTCTCCCCACACTCCCTCCACCCACGCTGAGCAAGGTGCACTGTGCGGGGGGCTGAGAATAAAAGCCTAAGGAGAGAATCCTGTCTCTGCGCTTGGGAGCTCACAGAGGAAGTCCGACTCTAAGCAAGTGATTAAAGCATATTAAGTGAAGTGCCACGATGGTGAAAAAGATACCCTGGGAGAACACAGGTAGGGTGATGGCCTTGGGAGGATCCGGGCAGAAATGGTTAAGCTGAGAGCAGAAGGAGAGTGGGGATCGGCCAGGCCGGGTGGAGGAGGGCTGTGTGGAGCAGGGCTGGGGAAGTGGCAGGGGCGAGGGAACATGGCATTCGCGTTCGGACGCCTGGGAGGCGGGCGAGAGCGCGTGGTTCTCGTGGTTCTTGGAACTGAAAGTCGCTCTCTGCAGGAGAGTAAGAAACTGTACTGTGGAGCTGGTGGGAGCCCGGTCCTGCCGCCTGAAAGCACGCGTGGGCTTTACCCTTAGAGCTCTGGGAGGCCTCGCACAGGGTTCAGTAAGAGAGTAAGAGGATGAGATGCTGGTTAGAAAGACGTGCCAGCAGGGGTGTGGGGGATGCACTGGAGTGGGCAGGGCCCAGGCCTGCAGAGTGAGGGGGGGAAGAAGGAGGAGTTGAGAGCGACTCCGGTGTGTAATCAGTGGGGTCGGGTCCGAGGTGCAATCTAGGGAGCGAAGGCGGAGGGCGTCGAGGGTACCAGGGACCCACAGAGTGCCATTCTCCGTGATCCCGAGGAGCCGGGGGAGAAGCAGGCTGGGAGGTGGGGAGATGCTGAGTTTGAGGGCTGTGGGCGGTACCTTAGCGGGAGGGAGCCCTGACTCCTTTGCTGGCTAATTGCTGCTCATCCTTGGAGACCCACTGCCTCCCCTGACCTCCCCCTCTGTCGGGGGGCGGGCGGTGTCCGCACTGTTTCTCCGTGTGGCCCAGCAGCCTGGGGTGCTTTGTTCCTCGGCCGGGATGGCCCGGGGATGAGTCAGGGGCTGCCACGCGAGACCACAAGTTCCTCTTGTGTTCTTCGTACCCCCACGCCCATGCTATATTTAGGAGGAGCATGGAGGAGAGGCTCAGCGCATTGTACTGAGTGAAAGGAGGCCCCGAGGACTCCCCTGGCACGTGGCACTGTGGGGCTCAGGGACACAGAGCAGCATAGCCCGTGTGGGACATGCCCGAGCGCCGGGAGCGGGCTTGACGAGCCCTGTTCTGGGAGGGGGGGTCACTCAGCCAGCCCCCTGCCCATCTCACTGCCTTCTGCAGCCCTAATCATCAGGCCTTGCTGCAGAGGCTACTGCGGGTGGAGGCCCAGCCTACACAGAGGATGGCGCTGGATGCCAGTCAAGGCCCCTCGGGTCTCTCCTGCCCCAGCTCGGCCGCAAAGCCATGCTGTGACTTCAGCACAGCACCCTGGTCCCGTCCGTGGTCTTACCCCCAAAACAAGAGGGTGCACCCAATCGGTGGTACTCATCTGGTTTACCATTAAGGGGCCTTCAGAAAAATTCCTTTTTGCCTTCCACGTCTAGGGACTTGAAAGATTTGGGCACCACACAGATTCCTTTTCCTTTGGGAGGGATTTCCGGCCAGTGTTTAGACAGGTTAGAATCCTCAAGGCCTTTGTAGCCCTCGAGGCCAGGAGCCCAGGAGGGGCACACTGGATAAAGTCATCTCCAAGTCCCTCTGAGTTCCTGGTGGGAACCTAGGTGGCTTCGTCCTTGCCAGGCCCCGACTCCTGCCCCCTGGCCTTGCAGGGCTGACCCCTGGCATGTGGGCTGCCTGCTTACCACGGAGGGAAGTGTCGCCCTTCCCACAGCACACCCTTCCCACATGCCAAGCCCATGTGCTCTGTTTGGCCTGCTCCCCGCTCTCCACCCTCCCCAACATCCCCCTCCCTTACACACACCTGCAGGGAGCAGCCTCGGCTTCCCCCAGGCTGATGGAAAGGCCTCCTTCCTTGTACGAGCCTGCTCGCCCTGCCCTCCTTCTCCCCAGATTGTACTAGAATTCCCTCACCCTTCTCACAACCCTGTTTTTCCAAACCATGGGTACCACCAGCCTTTGAAACTGCCCGGGGCCATGGAACAGCTCGTGTGTCATAGACAGGGACGCTGCTACGGCTACCACCTCCTTCCTCCCAAGGACCCCGCAGAGCTTGCTCTGTCCTGCTTCCAAGGTTGCCTGAGAACTTGCTTCAGTCTTCCCTGTCCCTCCTCAGCCCCTGGGTTCTCCCTTGGGATGCGGGCCCCTGCCCAGGCGGCTGGCGAGCGAGGGGCCCTGCAGAGGGACCTCCAGCTCTCTGAGGACGGGCCACACACCGGCCCCCCTTACCTTCCCAGAGAAGCAGACTCCACAGGGACCACATGCCCATCGTTCTCCAGAGAGGCCAGCAGACTCCTTCAACAACCCAAATCCAGAACATCTGGGGGCAAGTTGATACACGGGAGGAGGCTGTGGTACTTCTGGAAAGTCCCATGTTCAGAAGGAGGAATCTTGACTCAGAACAAGATGCCTGAAAGTGAAAATATCCAGAGTAAAGTGGAAGTTGGCTCCCAGCCTGGCTGGGCTTTGTCAGGAGTGGATTCTTGTAAGTCAGCCTCTTTCATGTGCCCCTGGTGGGCCAATGCCATCCGCCAGAGGCACGTGCTCCAGCACAAGCCCACATCCTCCGGTTGGACCGGCCAGCCTTCCCCGTATCCCACCGCCCCACGGCTGGCTGCCCTTCCTGCTGTAACCACGGAGAACCCTCTAGACTGCAATTCCCTTTGTTACTTCTCTAAAATTCTTCCGCACCTCCTGCTGCCCTCGAAAAAGAGACAAAACGCTCAGCCTGGTGTACAAGGCACTCCTAAGTTCGACTCCAGTCTGCTGGTCCGAGCTGGCCTCCCCAGTCCGCTCTCTGGCCATGCCAAGCAGGACTGCCCCTCCAGGGAGCACCCCCTGCACCCCCACGCGCTGTGCGGCAGGCACGCTGCTCCTATCGGCCCTCTGGACTGGGCGCGCTGCGGCCGGCCGGCTCCCCCTCAAGCCGTCCCGAGCCCAGTGCCGGCGGGCCCTCTGCCCTCAGCACACTGTCTTGCCACGGTTTTCTCGTCTCCACGGACTGGTTGCCGGCAAGGTCTTCACCTACTCGTTTCTGTGCTCCCCTTGGTGCTCGGCACAGCGTGGGTGTCTCCTAAACATTTGTAAATGAGTACATGAGTTCTAGACGTGCTCACAGCTCTTCTCCGCGAGGGTCTTATTGATTTGAACCCAGAGCAAGGTTAGCACCTTGCAGAGGTCACGAGTGAGAGCTGGGACTGGAGCCTCGCCCCGGGGAGCCTGGGCCACTTTGCCAGTGCTGCCCCTCCTCATCCCGAGTCTCTTCTCACTTCCAGTTACTCGGGTTCTTGAGTCAGGGGAGGCCCTGCAGGAAGATGAAGTGAACCCCCGAGAGCCACGCCGGGCTCATGGTGTCTCATCCCGCAGAACTCCTGACCTCAGCTTGGGACTCGGCCAAGAGTGGGGCAGGCATGGCGGCGGGAGAGCAGGAGGGTTCTGGGACAGGGTTCCTGCCCTCCAGTGGCTTGCAGCCGAAGTGTAGAAACAGGAAATGCCCAGAACGAAGGTCCACTACAGACAGGCAGAGCTCTGTGCAGTGGGCAGCGGGGCCTTCTTGCTGTGGAGAGTGTGAGGATCCACATCTGTGGATGTGGGTGGGGGACACTTCCCTAAAAGTGGGCTTTGAGCTGCACCTTGATGGTAGGCATGATTTGGATAGGCAGAGAAAAGGGGAAAGCCAGAGGCTGGGGGCAGGCTCTGAGCATGAAGTAGAGCCAAATGGGTAGAGCCAGATGGGGTGGGGGGGGGTCCCAGGTCGGCTCCAGGGATGATGAAGGAGCAAGGGGAGGAGCCTGTTAGGGCTGCAGTGGTAGGAATGGAAAGGGAGTTTGAGGGTCAGATCACAGAGGCCTTGAACACTGGCTTAGGGATTAGGCTTTTGTTCTGGGGGGCAGCAGTTCTTGGCCTTGCTGGACTCAAAGCCTTGGAAACTCTGGTTCAGTGGGGCTGGGACAGGACCCGGGAATCTAGTTTGACCAGCACTCTGCTCCAGGTGATCTGCAGCTGGTGGGCCGAGGGAAGGCTCTGAGAAGGTCTGCTCGGAGGGAGGGGATGTGGCCCGTCCTAAGCCCAGGGTAGCTGGCTGGTGGAAGGACAGCGTGTGGGGCAGGTTGGCAGAGAAAGAAGAGGCAGGAAAGCCTGGGTAGCAGCTGTTGGGATGGTCCTGACTGGAATAGGAAGGAAATATCTAGAGTAGAGAGGAAGGGACAGAGCAGAGTCAGGGGACAGAACTTGGGAGCCAGCTGGCCTTACGGCAGAGAGGCCAAGGGAGGGGACTCATTTATGACTCCGCTGTGAGTTCCGTCCTTCTCGCATCAGGGGTCTATTGAGCATCTACTTACGTGCCAGGGGCTGGGAACACAGAGATGAAAGGCTTGGCCCTGCCCTCAAGGAGGCTGCAGTTTGGGTGAGGAGACGGGATGTGTAACCCAATAATTAGTCAGTGAGGCAAGAGCGGTGCGTGTAAGGGTTTATTTAGGGTGGGGTCTGGCGCCTAGTCAGCATTCAAAAAAAATCTTAACCGTTGCTACTAAGGGGCCAGAGAGGGAAGAGAGGAGAGCAGGTCAACGCAGAGCAAGGGGGTCGGGTGTGAACAGCCCCCTCCATCTGTCCCAGACTGGCCCCTCCACGTCTGCACCCTGCCTATAGCCAAGGACAGGCTTCCCAAGCGGGGGAGCCCTCCAAGCCCGCCTAGAGGTGGACAGTGTGGGACCGGGAGGGTGTGGGATGCAGGAGCTGGGCCCTTGCGGGAACGTGGGGGATAGAGACTCGGAATTCCCACAGAGCAGACCGTGGGCAGTCACACTCCCTCTTAGCAGACTGGACCTACGTAGGGGTCCATCCAAGCGGGAACCGGGTTGCCCTCTTCCCAGGCTCCCCACCCCGCCCCCCATGCCCTTTTGCTAGAGGGGAATTTCAGGGAAGCTGAGGAAGGGGGAGGAGGAGGTTGGTGAGGGTCAGCAGACGTCCCACCTCCCCAGAGGGAGGAACTCCAGGCTGTGTGGCAACTGGAGAGAGACAAACGGGGGCAGCTCCGGATGGGTTAAGTCAGTAGAGGCAGGCTCCCCCCGACTGCTGACCACTGGTTCAGACCAGGCTAATTAGCCCGCACGGGACAGTGTGCTGGAGTCACTGGGCTGGGAGTTCAAAGGCACCACGCCCACATTCCTTAATTAAGAGAGCAGAGGGGCTGTAGGAACTTCCTGGGAGCCAGGGAGTGGCTGTGGCTCAGGGCTGGCTGTAGCTCCATCTGCACGTCTCCCCCTCTCCCCTAGCCCACCTCCCCTGCGGGCAGGTGTGGGGGGACGGGTGTCCCCGGTGGCCACGCAGGCTGCCCCAGACTCATTCGGGGCCAGTGGAATCTGGGTGTCCTGCCCACTCACACTTGTCCTCGATTCTTGGACTGGCCTGGGGACAGAATAGGGCCACACCAGAAGAGAGGAGAGACGGAGGAGAGAAAAAAGTGGGAAGGTGTTTGGGGGAGAGAAGGAAAGTGGGGGGAGCTCCAGACAGGAAGGAGCTCCAGATAGGAAGGAGGGGCGTTCAGCGGACTTTCTGGGAGGGAAGGGGGCAACTCTGAAGGGTGGTGTGGGATGCGGGCTGAGAGGCCAGGTACAACCCCATCTAAGCCCCATCTTTTTTTTTTTTTTTTAAAGATTTTATTTATTTATTTGACAGAGAGAGACACAGCGAGAGAGGGAACACAAGCAGGGGGAGTGGGAGAGGGAGAAGCAGGCTTCCCACTGATCAGGGAGCCCGATGCGGGGCTCAATCCCAGGACTCCGGGATCGTGACCCGAGCCGAAGGCAGATGCTTAATGACTGAGCCACCCAGGCGCCCTCTAAGCCCCATCTTTATGTCTACCTTCACCTCCTCGGTTTGTGTAGAGTGGACCACCTACCTCCATGATCTGTCTGCTGACACCATGCCACCAGGCACGGGCTGGGCCCAGAGGCTGCCCTGGGTGGGGCAGTCCATGCACAAACCCCGCCCCTCCCTCCCCCCATCAGTCAGCTCGGGCAGCAGAGGCAGTGCCTGCGTGTGTGAAAGTGGGGTACCTGACCTCCCCTGAGATGACACTCTCACGCCTGCACCCACGGCCCCGAGCATGAGGGCCTCTTTAATATTTGTGCCTGCAGCACCTGCCGTGCCCCGCCCTCGTTCTGGCTTTGCTGGGGACGTGGAGACCGAGTGGAATCTTTGATCTTTGATGCGCGAGAGCAAGGTGCACGCAGCAGGAGAGGGGAAGCAGGAGAGAAGAAAGAGCCCTGTAGAAACTGGGTGGGACGGTCGGAGCCTTCTTCTTTTTAGGGTCTGCTTTTGAGGCAAAGACATGGTTTCCCAGGGAGCTGAAGGCAGGCTGCATAAAAAAGAGACAAAGCCATGACCATGCAGAGGTAGCCAGGGAGGAACTGGAATCTCACTCACTCACTCAGCCAGCATTTGCTGGATCCCCATCCTGTGCACCTTCCCGCGGTGAGCAGGTGTAGTGAGCACTCAGCATGGGAAGCCCGCGAGCGCAGGGCTCGTGCTGGTGCCCATGATGCCGATCTGTACCCCAGGCAGAAAGAATTCCCAGACAAGTAGGACGACGTAGGCTGATCTTTCAAAGGGCCTGACAGACGGACCCCTCTGAGGACGGTGCAGCGGGACGCGCGCTGAGGACGCAGGCACGCAGACCGCCCTAGGCCCTGCCGGCCGCAGCTCCTTTCGGCAGCGCGGGCCAGGACGGGAACCTGTGTTTGGGGCACGAAGCATCCCGGTATTGGATGAAAAGGCCTGGGTCTTCCCTGACCTGTGCGCCCCATCTGTCGTTCCTGTCATCGCGGTCCCGTACAAACACGAAGGACGCAGAGCTACTTAGCAGATGCTGGTTTAGGTAAAAATGTCAAAGACCTTATTTTATAGCCAAATCTAAAATAAACCTGGAATTGAAAGCAATCCCAGTTTCTGTAAGCTGCCTGGCTCAGGGAAGGGTCACGCTCCATTTTTAGTGTTTGTCTCTAAAATGTTGAGCCACATATAAAGCAAGGATGGGCGTCCAGTGGCACCTTCGGATGCGGCTGTCCTACGGATGGTCAGACCCAAGGGGGTCAGCAGAGGGCAGCCGCGAGGCCCCGTTCCCACTCCCTCTCCCCGGAGGGACAGCCGCACGTGGCCTCAGCTCTCAACCGCGCACGGAGCCCTTTCCTCCCTGCTTTTACCCAGGAGGTGATGTGACCCCACAGAGCCCTGGTCCCTATGTCCCCGGGCCCCGGGCCGGACCCCATCCTAAGGAGTGTCTGCATTGAGCTCTGACTTGGAGAGAAAACTAACGGTGCAGAGCCTTGCGGGCCGTTCTGCAGACTTCCTTGGCGTCTGCAGGGTCTGTCCCTGGCAGCCCGGGAGAGTCCCATTCTCCTCGCCACCAGCGTCCTCCAGGACCAGCAGTGGGTTCCTGCTCTGAGCACTGGCCGGGAGCCTGGGGGCCACCTGTG